ATGAAGGAAAAAATCAAATAAAGTAGAATAAAAAACATAAAAAAATGGAAAATTAAATTCGCGTTCGAACCTAGTCTATACTTTAAGATTCCATAAAGGTGGAAAGAGTAAGATTCGCATGCTTCAATGAATCTCAAAGGTTATATAAATTTATGACTAACTAGATAAGAAAGAATTTATTGATATCGAGTTTCAAACGTATTGTTGAGGTGCAAATTTAGTGTGAATGTTAGAGAAATAAACTATTGTATGATATAATACATTGTATTAACATACATGGATTAATTTAGAGTAGAAACTGATAAACATGTGCTATAGTATCTTGTTATCATTTCTATGTCAATTTAATTTCACCTTGATCTATAAAGTGAGTGCTTAGAGATTTATCAAGTTTATCAAAAAAAATTTGAGAACATCACTGAATGTATCCAAATGGAGTTTAAAAAAATAGTTTGTCACTAGAAAGCATTGCCCTCTACGAGGAGTTAATGACACGAATGAATAATTTTTGTTTAGACTAGTCGTTTGGATTTATTTACGAATTAGTTAATGGCTATAAGCCAGATGTGATATTCTTATTTAAATTTAACTTATTAACTTATTTTTCTTGCAACTCCACTTTTTAATACTGACTCGCATTATTAATGAACAAATAAACTTAAAGCACTTAACTGAATTTCAGGAACAATTTATAAATGTTTGGACTTAGAATTTTCTAGGAATCCTTTCACTTTGAGCACATTTTAATTTTTTCGAAGAAAAAATAAATTTTTTTCCAAGTGATATCTAAAAAAAATGATTTGAAGTAATATCAATCAAAAACATCTGTAATATTCTATAAATAAAATCTGTTAACTGTTTTTGAAATCGAATAAATAATTTAATTCTTCGTCCGTTGAATAAATTCCAGTGTCATCATTGAAGTTCTATTAAAAAAGATCCAAGTTGCTATTAAATATGCAAACATTTCACGTGTCTCAAACAACTTATCACTGAAGGTAGGAAGCACATGTGCAGTCAGATCATGTAGATGCGTGTAAGACAGGAAAAGAAAAATAAAAAAGAAGCCAAATTTTACGCTATAGGATACCACTATCGTGTCGTGCATTATTCACGCCTCATGAATCTAGAATTTCTCGACAGTTCGTCGGTTTGAATGTCCTACAAGTCGATAGACGCACGTATTACTTGATTATTCCATAGGGTTGTCAGCTATTTGGTCTTTTTACCCACTTCCTACCTGTAAGTGCATTCATGTAAGTGCTCATGTACCACCGATAAATAATACAATCAGAACAATGCTCTTGATCAAACGACTTGCAATCTTAACAAAAAAAAAACCAAGAATTACAAATTATCGTCGCTTTTCTCCTTACAGTCATTTTTGCTGGCAAAACTTGCTGGCGACCTGAACACGCCCTTTCAAACCAGTTTGACTCGTCGCCCACGCGTGTCTTGGAGGTATAATGCCACTAGAGCAGGAGAAAGGGAAGTTCGTGAAGATTTGAAGTCATCGGATTACACAAAAAAAATCCGTCATCTATCATCTTGTTTAAAATTTTAAATCTTTTAAACTCATCTCCTAACTATAATTTCCCTTATACTTTAATCAATGCATAGGGTCAAACGATTAATAAGTGATAATGATGAGAAGATGCACCCAAGTACATATGCCAATAAAAGATGAGAAAAACTTATTCAGATTGAGTGTGCGTGAATCGCACACCCGACATTGCACTAAGGATTCTACCTGCCCAAGCATTGAACTTCCCTGGAGGGAATTATTGAAATCCTCGGACTTTATTCCAGGAACTAAACTGGTGCTTCCTTCTTCCAATAAACTTGCCACTTAAATTCATTTAATTCTCTTATGGCTCACTGACTAACTTCGTTTATTTTCATTTAGTTTTAGAACCAACTCATTTATGTAGATTACTAATTGCTACAGAGGTTTTAAAAATCGATCGCTTCAACTAATCTCACCCTGTATATTTGTTCATTCTTTTGAACACAAAATCCATCCTTTTTGTTATTTTATTATACTACGATTTGATACATAATAATGAGATACGTGGACCATAAATCGATAAATATATTTCCCCATATACATATTATTTTAGAGAAATAATATAAAAAAATTGATGTGAAATTTAATATTGAAATGAAAATTTAATGTTAGATTTTAGTTATATATTTAATCCGGTTTAGACCACAAGTTGACGAATTTATAGTCCTTTTTGTAATCAGAAGTTAAGAACATTTATATAAACCTAAAAACCTCCTACATAAAAAAAAATTATTTACTATGAATAAATTTTATTGAACGAAAACAAGATTTACCATTTAACCTGATAAAATTTATTAATAGTTGAGAATGAATTTTTTTGCGTCTTCAATAAAAAATAAAGGTAACTTTCATAATAAAAATATGTATCGTCACTAGATATCATAATTTATTTATCTTAATTAATTTATTTTAATATTTTTTTTTTGGTGAATATATTTTTTTTCAATCGAAAACAATTAAAATAAACTTTTGTAATTATAAGTTAGAATTTAAATAATGCCTTACAATTTTTTTCATTTTAATTTACTCATTTCTAACTGAACGTGAATCCTTAAAAATTATTCGCAAGATATAAAGTTTTTCAATCAAACTGTTTTTTGTTCTTTTCTTATTTATGTTGGAAGAAGAATCAAAAATACTGAAATTATAATGCAGAACAAGTCTTCAAATTTAGTACCAATCAATGGCAATAATTTTTCAAAAGCTCTAACAAAACAATAAAAATTTTAATCACATCAAGAAATTAATATCCAATGAGCTCTAATGAATATAAAATGAGTTCGAATGACAATATAAACGAGATAAGGAAAATACATAACACAACAGTTGCAACAGAACCTTGCAAGATCAGACAAGAGTTGGATGAGATAATAACCAATGACTAATTATACTAATTTCGACGCAGAAGAAAATAAAACTGTATATTCAAAAGTAACTTTAATCCTGTTCTGAATCAATAAATATTTATATGTAGATATTTAATATTAAATCTATATATATATCAGCATAATTTTATTTTATTATTTATAGAAATAATCAACGATTCACTCATTAATAATTTAATGAATTAGTCGATATTGCCTATTAATTTTCAACTCAGGAAATATCAATGCTTCTAATATTGTATAATATGTCGATAAAGTAAAAATACGCCAGATTGGAACGGAGTGTAGAAAAATTAATGATAAAAAATAATTAATATAGCTTATGTCATAATTTCATATCGCATATTTGACAAGGATGTATTTTTAACCTTTTTAATCGCCAATTCCTTTAATTTGACTGTTAGTTATATAATTATGTTGAAAAAATATAAAGAAAATAAATTCCATCACACATTCATATGATTTCATGTATTTTTTTATATTATTCAACTATAGTTTAAAATATAATAAAAATTTATTTTTATTATTCCTTAATTATCAATTAATATTCAAAGGGTTAAAAATTGAACGATATCTGTTACAAATTACTTACTGCATTAATTTAATATAATTTAAAATTGAGAGATTGATTGATTCTAATATATTTAAGAACAATCAATTAATTCATTAAAGAATATAAAATTAGCAAATAGAATAATCGTTAATTTTTGTTCTACGCACTTTAATGTTGATAATAAAAAAAGATGAAATGGTAATTCAAGCATTTAATATAAAGAATCAATGAAACGTAATAAAACTTAAATCAAAAAGGGTAACTTAACCGTAACAAATTGACATCTAAGAATAATAATGAATTAATTTAATATCCGGAAAACGTGACTTGTTGACTCTACGTTTCCTATCGTCTTACTCTACAATAGTACTTTTTTTTATAGATAAAATCAACATTTGTGATCTCCAATGTATGCAGCTGCAAAAGCATACAAGAACTGTAAACTGATAGGTATATATTGCATTTATTCAGGAGCATTAACTTGATCACAATTATGTCGCAGTCTTTAACGAAAAAATATAGTAACATCTGAAACATTTCAAGTAATCATCGCCAAAAAATCCAATCTGGGAATAATTTTTGATTGATGATAAATCTGTAAACACGTTGATGATTTATCGAATAATATATAAAAATGTAAAATTCATTATAAATGAGTTATTAATTAATAAGAAAAAAAATCAATAAATTAAAAAACCTCATATTTTAAAATTATTATTGAATATATTATGTGATCTGATTATTCAATTTGTTGAAATACATAACTTAGTAATGCCAGCCCTATCATTCAATCATCGTTACTAACATTTAATGATAATCATTAGATTTTCAGTTGACGATAAAATAAATTAGCGCCTAAACTCCGAAATAATTTTTAGAAAAAAGTCTGGCTTTCTCTATAAATTTTGCTATCTATTTTAACCCTCGCATGTCACCAATTTCACATTATTCTTGATTTTCTGATTGTTTATGTATTTATAAAGAAATTCATAAAGTATAATAAAAATTAATATTCATGAAGATGTGACCATGGTTATATTTATCTATCATTCATTGTATTAATTACTGTATTCATTCTTATTTGTTAAGCTCTATTCCCACACAATTACACAATTAGATTGTTTTCTACAATTGAATAATATGTATTCTACTGCTCAACTAATTTGAAAATCATTATCAAACTATTGAGATTTTTCTTTAAAATTTCAATTTATAAATGACCAAAAATCGAGCTTTCATCAAATTAAATGAAGGATAATTGTTCAAAGTGAACTTTTACTTATGAAAAGTAATAAAAACGAAGTAGCAAAAATTTAATAGAATCAAGAAATATCCAAAACTAATAAAGTTGTTCTAATAAAAGATAGACAACTCTGGATAATAAAACTTATTTATCTTGAACCAAAGTATACTTTACTGTGAAGTATTATAATACGCCAAACAATTTAAGAAAAATATTAAGCAAATGAAGAGAATAGTTTGAAACATAACTCACCTCATTACTTTCTGCAAGTTTGATATCCTGAACTAGAAGTTGAAGCAGCAAGAAAGCCGCAACTGCACTCTTCATCAACACCATATCGTCTTCAGTTGATTTTTTTGGCACAAGACAATGAATCACGGAAAGTATAGATCAATAGGATCCGTTACTTTCCTCCGATTTCCTTTAAGTACTTCCTTCTCAGTAAAATGCACGGTTTCGAGCCATTTCTCGTGGTCGCGAGGAAAAAGAGGACCACGTGCCTTTTGTCACAAGCTAGTCGACAACTGTTGAAAATTATTTGACACTTTATGATGATGAGAAGCAATAAACTTATTCAATTTGTGTACGCGACTTTTTTTGAGTGAATCGTCTGAATAATCAAGTCAATGATTTAACCGCAGCGTACACACCGCACCGGCGTTCGGTAGCATCTGAGAGTCCGTACGCGCCGGCAAGATAAAACTTTTTCAAAAGCCCGGGTGGTTTCGCCTCTCCTCACACCCGCACTGGTGGCCTCGAAGTAGACATCTCACTCACACTTCCGCGTGTTTATGTTCTTCGCTCCTTTTCCTTCAACCAACAAGTCAGTTCTCGTCGACTCGCGGACTTTTCTCCCCACCATTCTACACAAGAGTTGAGAGAGAGTGACTCGCCTCCCTTTCGACGTCATGCTTCATCTTCTGCGCGAGTTTATATGTAAAAGACCATCCTCGAAGACTTGGTGGAATAACATCATCTGCCCAATAACCTGTAACGATTGATTAGAGTTAGATGACATTTCCATTATATGGTTATGAGGATATTTGGATCAAAAATATTTTATTGAAATTAAAAATATATTTTTAATTATGAGAAATGAAAATACAAGTGAAATTATTTTTAACCGTTACTATAACGATTGAAAAAAATATAAAATAATGCTAAACTAATTATAACTTTCTATGCAACTTTATTAGAGTTGGTAATTAAACGCCAAAAGTTTTTTAATTTATTACATATTTATTATATTGATTTGAAATATTTATTTACTGGTCATTAAAATTTAGGACGGATTTAAACTCATGTAAAAAGAAAAATTACATCTGTTAAAACTAAATTATATTACGGTCAAATTGATCTATTTCAATACCGAGTGAATACATGTGACTAATTTTGATAATTCTGTAAGAATATATCTGAAAATTCGCAATCTATAAAAAATTATATCGACTATAAGTTATAATGATATTAAAATACTGACCCTAATTATTGATACTTTCTCGGATGCTCGAAACTCTATGAAAAAGCAACAAAGAATTTGTTCCATACTTTATGAGTTTTTTATTTTTTTTGCTTTCTGCTCATTTAACTTATTAATACAGATATTCAGCAATCTATTTATGCGTAAAATTTATGTTGAATAATATAAAGAAAGAACTTCTGAATATTAGTGATAAAAATGATCAATCTAAAACAGACATAACTTCTAAAGTTCAAATTTCAAAAACTTTTATTTTTGAGCCGTTTAAAAAGCAAACTTGTGATGCTGCAGCGAATATTTTATATTAAAACAAGTAATTAAACGTCCAAGATAAATCGCTTCCTCAAATGAAAAAAAGAAAAGAGAAACTTTTAAGAAAAATTCGATACAGTATTCACATAATCATTTTCAATAAATGTTAACCAATACATAAACGAAAAGCTCATTTCTGAATTGGCTGAGTGTAAAACATAACAAAGAGTAGTAACAGTAATCATAAAATCTCAAGGAAGCCATAAGAGAATAGACTATCATTGACTCTTTTCAATCCCACGATTATTCTTTCTACATGTGTCAAGTCATTCAAGTTGAACATAAATCTATTCGTGTAACTGCTTTAACGTTCTAAATATTTAACAGCCATCAACTTGGAGTCTTTTTTATTATCGCTCTTTTTCTACTATGCCCTTTGTGAACCAATGCAAATTAAAATGAATCGAAGAAACTCATCAACTTTTTAGAAGCTGACTCAGACTCTGTGTTATGCCATAGGCTTCATGCAATTGCAGTCGTTAATAACTTAAAAAATGATCATCGAGTTACTGTCCGCTAAACTTTCATCTTAACGATCACATATAAAGATAACAATGACTAAAATGACGTAATGTTGATTTATGTCTGGCGCCGTCTGCCCTCAATGTAAATCGTGACATCTCATTTATCTAAACACTCAAATTAATCAAAAATACACTATAAATTTCGTATTATCAAAGTTTTTTTCACAACCACTTTGTTTACAGCAAGTCATCTTAAAACTGAATAACGCGTCATAACAAAAGGCGCCAAAATCTTGTGAAATACGTTATAAAAAGAATTATTTTATTATGAAAATTATTTAAGAGACGATTAATTAGTTTAATTTATTATTTTTATTGAATGTCACAAATTAAAACGCTTGAAAGAGTCATAAAATATTTTTCGCGCTATTAACTATCTGACAACAACAATTAAATGTCGGAAAATGAACTCAACGGCACTTTTACGAGCATCGGCGACCATGCGCGAATGATGTTGTACGTACAATCTACATTACCAACAATAAATAATATTTTCTAATTGGTTCTTTCGTGATGGCAGTACCGTTGACATTCGTTTTCCTTCTCTATCTCATGGAAAGTATTTCTTGGTTATCTCAACTAAATTTCTTCATTTATTGTGTAACGATTAAAACGGAGTAGGTAGACATCTGTTTCTGCCGTCAGAGTGACATACAGAATCGTAACAGAACGATCTAGATACACAAAGAGAACTTTGTTTTGATTGGTTTATTGTCATGAATACAAGACATAAATATTTTCAAGTTTTTTGTAAAGGAATCTAATAATAAACATATTATCGAGTGTGTTGTATAAAAATTTTTATTGATATACTGAAGTTTTTCAGACATTGAAAATTGTTTTACGTTACTCCGATTTTTTGTTGATAAACCATTGAATGAACAATATATATCTTGGAGTAAACTTCTTGAAGTATTTTTCTCCAAACTGTAAGTGTTATAATCATATAAAAAATAAAAAAAAAACATTAGAATGATTAAAAACTTATGATGATGAAATATTGATTGGACTTTTTGAATAGGTTTAAGCTTCATGGAGAAGAAAAATAACTCCAAAGATGAATGGGGAGCTGAGATAGGCTCCCACATTCAAAGAGTTGCAATGAATAATTTAATCATGAACTATTTAGTGACTGGTAAGATTTTAAATAAAAATAGAATTTTAAAAAGTTATCATTGATGAATCTGCACAATATCTATTGATTATGATTATAAATCTTTAATATTATCATCCTATCTTGTAGAAGGGTTCAAAGAAGCTGCTGAAAAATTTCAACAAGAATCTGGAGTAGGCCCTACCATAGAATTAAACTCTATGGATGACAGAATTCGTATCAGAGATGCAGTACAAAATGGACGCATTCAAGAAGCTACTGATTTAGTTAATCAACTTCATCCAGAATTGCTTGATAATGATAGATATTTGTACTTTCATTTACAACAATTGCATTTAATCGAACTAATACGCACTGGAAGAATTGAAGAAGCCCTACAATTTGCTCAGGAACAGCTCAGTGAAGCTGGTGAGTCAGATGACAATATTTTAAGTGAATTAGAAAGAACACTTGCTTTATTAGCATTTGAAGAACCTCACAAAAGCCCATTCAGTGATTTATTACATCCATCTCATAGACAGAAGGTAAATAAATATATTTTTATGCAAGTTAAACAATCAAAACTTTTCACAATATTTTGTATTATAGGTTGCAAGTGAATTGAATACAGCAATTTTAAAAATGGAACACAGAGAATCTACGAATCCACGACTTAATAATTTACTTAAAATGATTCTATGGGCTCAAGATGAATTAGATAAGAAAAAAATAAGATACCCAAAAATGACAGATTTAGGAAGCGCCAAGTTTGAATATCAAAAGTAGTCATTTTTTTAGATTAAAATCTATTTACTAATATCAAATAGATTTAGCATTCATTAAGTTTCATAACTATTATAAAAATTTTTTGTTTTAATTAATTTAAATCTAGATTCTAACATATAATCTTTATCAAATACATAATGAAAACGTGCATCTTGTGTGAAAATGTGAATGAATGATAAAAAAGAAATCAAACATAGACCTGAAATTTTAAAAGAACATTTACAGATTCCATATCAAACAAAAGAGAAGACAAAAATAAGGATGAAAGTATAAAACATTTAATCAATCAGAAGGTATAAGTCTCCTTTTTACTTCTGCACAAAACCTGATTATTTTTGGTCTCATAAGAGGTGTGGATAAAAGGATGAGTGAGTATACAAATCAAGGAATAAAATGATTATATAATTTTTATGGTAGTTCAAAAATTTTTCACATTAAATTAGAATAAACATTGTATCATAATAGTATACCGTGAAACAATTATTAAATACTTTCTTCATAATTATCTAATAGTTTGGTCAATGAATAAATATAAAATGTAATCATTTGTAGATGATTTAAAAAACAGTAAATGATTATTGAATATAGTAAAAAGTTTAATTTCATATTATTCGATCAACAATACTAAGCTGTAAATAATTACATTTAAAGTTATAAAAAAATTCACTTTTTGAAACTAGACAACTTCTAAAATTATTGTAAATTTTTTACCTCAAATAATTTTTCTAGAGAGAAAGATTGTACAAAACTGATTACTTAGTTCCTAACTCTTAGAATTGAATCAATAGGATTGTCCACATAAAATTAATGATAATTCAATGAAAATGTATAATAAAAATTACTGTGGATTTGTTACCAACCAAAAACGAATTCCATCGCTTTCGAAACTAACCCCGTTGATTTTTGAGGAACATTTTCCGGCGATCGAACTGATTGTGAGCTTAATTGTTGGCTGTAGCCAGAGGCTAATGGTCGAGCATTGGGAATTTTTGGAGTACGAGTTAAACTATTAGTATCTACACTTTGATTTAACTTCGTTGGTGATGAAAAGATTCTCATACTTCCATTCATTTTATTTCGACTCTCTTTATCTGAACTTAATATAACACCTTCATCCATACAAGGCGTAACTCCAATCATGATTGATCCTGACACAATATTTCCATTACACGTTAAAGCTCGTTGAGCTTCTTGTTCTGTTGCACATTTTAAATGAATCCAATTACTTTGTGAATGTGGTGCAGGATGTTTGTCAACTATACGAACTCTATTCGATATGTGTGATAAAACAGTATTTAAAGCATCAGCAGGAAATCCAAAAACTGTTATCCATCTTAAAAGTCCTTGAGATGGTTCAGTATTTCCGATGTTTGGATTGTTTTCCAAAAAAAATAATTCATTGACATTATTTAAATTATTTCTACCTTGATTACGAGATAAACTTCTGTTTTCTGCTACCGCACAAGTTCCTGATGTTTCAGCAGTCTCTAAGGTATCAAAAAGACCTCGCGTAGGAGGTCCTCCGACCTGATTTTCATTACCGATTCTTCCGGGAGTTCCAGGATTAGTAACATTGGCAAACATTGCTTTTTGTCGATTTTGGCGATAATCTGGTGACGAATAGTGAGGGATTGGTGATGGTAAATTTGATGGAATTAAATTTGAGTATCTTGGTGAATCAGTGTTAGAAATACCCAATCTTGCAGGCTGAAACGAAACGTTGAGGTTTATATAATTATCTGACAAGTAATGAAGCATTTTATAATTTCTACAAATATTCCTGAACAATGTTGTATTTTGGAAATTTGCATGTTTAGATAAAAACATTAAATTAAATATTTAATTTGTATAATTTACTAAATTCAATTATCTGAAATATATATTATTTATTTACTGTATTAGCTTCCCCCAAAAGAAAACTTGGAAGATAGGCAGAATTAGCACTTGGACTACCAGGAGATTGGACCGGACTACCCAGTGGTGAGCCTAAAGTCATTGGTTCCATCTTAAAAAAAAACAAAAATGAATTAAAGGAGTGATGAAATATATATCGATAATAATTAAAAATGCTAGATTTACTATAGGTTATGATGGAGAAAATCTTATCAAAAAGTTGATTGAATCAAAAGTAACGGTTATATTTTAATTTAATAAAAAATATAGAAATTCTTTTTGATACTCACAATAATTATGTATAATTTACAAATATGTTTGTTTAATAATTAAATTAATTATTACTGTCAATGTTTCTTCACAAAATACATTAACGAAAAATTTGAATAGTTCAGTAAAAAAAAATGGCGACTTAAATCGGTAAAAACAGAAACGATAAACGAAAAAAACAAAGAATACTGTCTTACCTAGAAGTCCAGAAGTGGCGGGAGCGTGACATCCGTCCCCAATAAGATGTCAGTCAAAGGCATTTTTACAATCTTTTAAATTTAAATCTTTAAATGTATAATCTTACTGATTGTTAATCAAATTCTATGATGCCCAGATTTTTTATCTAATGATCATTTTAAAAATAAGCTTTATTCTTTTAATTTTTTAAAATTGGTTTTTTTTATTTTCAATCATTTAATATTCAATCAAATTATAAAAATTTTTCTTTTTTTAAGGCTGGGCTGAAGTCAGAAAGGCGACTGATTCCCCCTATCCAAATACATGGGATCGGGAAATTTCTAATTTCTTCGCCAATTTACAATTATTTCTATAAAATTAGGTACCAAATTACAGAGGAATTATAATGCCGGACTGACGTAAACAACAATTTTTTGTATATAGTGAATATTTTTATTAAAAAAATTAGAAAGAATAATAAATAAATTATGAATTGACTTGCCGCGCTTAAATTTCAAGATGGCGGCCACATCATTCAGATGAAAAATCACTAATTATTTCATTTTTATACGTTTTTCGCCCAAAATTCGTGTTTGCGTCAGTCCTTGCCACCTGTTTGAATGTTAAAAAAAATTAATTCATAGTATAAAATTGAATAATTTGGAAATAATTAGAAATCTTGTATTCCAGATGACATTCTCCGGAAAATTAGTTTGAAAAAATTCTGATAGGTGACAGCATTATGCTCGCAGATGACCTCAGTCATCCATATTGAAAAAATGCTCAATCCGTATCCAGAACTGATGGTGCCCTGCATTTTGGCGAGTAAATTCTGTATGTGTGTGTACGGGTAATATATGTATGTGATGTAAACATAGTGTATCACTTTACAATGCCCTACACTTTGATGACTATTGCAGTTAGGATAAATAAAAATGATGATACTCATTTAACATTAATTAATATAATACCTGCAAATAACTTCAAATACATATACTCATCCATTATTATCATTTTATTAGGTATAAATGTTAATAAGGAAGCTCAATTCCAAGTCGGCGTATCCAAGCATGTAGTGTAAAAACAAATATACATTAACTCAATATCGAGATTATGCTGGCCATGTGGTTAGGGCGTCAGAGTTCTATTTTGCCGGGCAGGGTTCGATCCCAGTCATAACCAATTTTTTTTTTTCTACTTTATTCGTTAGATTAGCATGTAATTATAATATTGACATGCTATAACAATTTGATTTTTTTTTCTCTTTATTCATTGAATTTATTGACGCTAAGTCGAAAAATATTTGAACAGAGCCATAAACTTTCTTTTTGTATAAATACATTGATAATAGCCTGTGTTTAACAACTTTTACATCTTTACATGTATTAACAATGTTATGTGTATTAACAAGTTAATCATATTATTATCAACATTGAAAAGTAGTTTTAAACAATCTGTGGCGAGTTTCGGCACTTTCCCGGCAAGTTCTACCCCCACTCTCTGTGCCCAAGCCTGCAGCTTATAATTTTTAAGCATATATAAGCGTACTGAAACCATAACAGCTCAGTGGTTACAGCATCGGTCTTTTATTTTGCTAGGCAGGGTTCGATTCCAGTCATGATAAAGTTTTTTTTTTCTCTTTTATTTGTTAGATTTGCATGTAATTATAATATTAACATGCCAAAAGTAATTGTTTACAACGATTTGATTTTTTTTTTCTCAATTATTTATGTAATTTATCGACGCCGAGTCGGAAAACATGAACAGGGTTATAAACACTTTTCTTACTATAGCTATATGAACGTAGCTTTTTTTTAAGCAATTTAGAAATATTTAGAAGTAGTTGAAATAATCCACGGGGATTTCCGGCACTTCGCCGGCAAGCTCTATCCCCACCTTTCGTACTCAAGCCTGCATTATACAATTTATAAACATAAACATGATGTTACAGATAATATGTTAGCTCTGTAGGTAGAACACCAAGCTTTCATTTTACCGATTAGGGTTCGATCCCAGTTATAGCCAATTTTTTTTTTTTTCATTAAAATTTTATATAAATACAATAATTGGGTGTTTGTATAAGTTCAAAATCAATTCCTAGTGTCTTTTAAAGACAACATTTTCTAAAAAAGAGAATTCATAGTAACTCGTTTCTCACCCTCAGCTTATTTTCAGAAAAACAAGTTTTTTTTCGTAATTAATTGAAAGAATAATGTAATAAAATATATGAATTGATTTATAAGTATATAAAGTCACTTGAACAAGAAACAGAAAAAAAAATTGCCTATGACTGGGATCGAACCCTGCCCAGCAAAATAAAAGGTCGAGGTTCTAACTAGAGATGTGAATTTACCGGTAATAGAAAATTCGGTAATTACCACGTAAAATTACCGGTATCTGACGGTATTCTGACGTCAAAAAATTCTGAATGTAAAATTTACCGTCAAGCCGTCGGTCAGCGTAATTACCGTAAATTACCGGTCATTCGCATCTATATAGATGAATATGATGAGCTTTTTACCGAGGAAATGGCTTGCTTTCGAACTTGCTTGCCAATTTGCTTAAGTTAATTTTGCTTTCTGCACTTGTTAATTTAAAACTAATTAATTATTATAAGATGAAAAAAAAAATTTTGTAATTTGTAATAGAAAAAATATTTTACATTTTTGACTGTTAGGACAGAAATAATAAATATATTGAAAATTATTATAAACGTTTATTTAGTTAAGTTTTTGGTACATTTTTTTTTATAAAATAGATAATCCTTCGTTATTACATATTATAAAAAATTTGACTTTTTTAACTTTTATGTAAATTATTTATGAAAAAATAAAACCATATAATCTATAGTTTCTATCAACTAGTAATATCACATAATAATTGACATATTTCATTAGGAAATAACAAGTCTAATACTGATTCAATTCCATCAACATCACTAATTAGTCTTGAGTAAATTCTTCTTCTAAAAATTCAACTTCTTCATGCTCAGCACAAATTTCACTTATTTCATCCTCTCCTTATTACTTTCCTCATCTTCTTCCCATTCTTCTTCTGTATTTTTGGTGAAGGATTAAGTAATTTTAAATTTCTTGCAATGTATGTTATTTTTCCAGCTCTATCGATACTTAACTTATTTCTTTTAGATGAATGAATCCATCCTTGTGTACTAAAGGAACGCTCGGTTGCAGCTGATGTTGCAGGTAAAGTCAATATAGCCACAGCTATTTTGCTCAACGAAGATTTTTGGCAAATACTTTGCCACCATTGACATGCTGAAGTGATTATACTTGCTCGCTTAACGTAGTCGTAACTCCACATACTTGATTCTGACACATAATCTGTTAAATCTTTGAATACCTTATCACTATTTAGATTTAATTTATCACCAAGATTTATAATTAATTGATGAGCTTCAACCATTTCTGACCTATTTAAATTTTTTCCTTTTAATTGAGGATCAAGTAAGTTAGCTGCATAATGTATGGGCCGTAGAGCCATAGTTTTACGATTTTCTAAACAAGTATATATGCTCAGCTTTTCTTCTTCCGAAAAAATATTTCCAATATTATTAAATGCATTATTAAAATGATTATATAAATCATAAAAACATTCAGGTACTTTATTTATTAAAGGGTTATCACCCTCTAAAATATTTATCCACTTTACAATCGGTTTCATCAATTGAAGAATTTGTTGAAGATTATTCCAAAATTCTTCATTTAGTACAAGAGCACGAGAAGCAGGTTTCCATAATGTAATAGCCTTTGAAGAAATTGCTAAAGCCTGAAGATTATGCTTATTAACACAAAGACTGTCAATCATAATTATAGTAGATTCATCTTGAGATTGAATTTCTTTGAAAATCGCTGACATTATTTGTACTTCTTTATTCCTTTTACAATAGCTGTTGCACTTGTCACCAAAGTTTCAACAGTTGCTTGACTACCAATATCTTTCATGAGTAGGTTAAGAATGTGAGCAGCACAACCATAACAATACAATTTGTCGACATTATACTTTTGATCTATCAAAGTCCAAGCACTTTTCATTGCAGCACAATTATCTGTACAAATTCCGATAACTTTTTTAATTCCCAAAGCATCAATAACACTTCCTATTTTTTCAGAAATATATAAGGCAGTTTGTGATTCGGTTCCAGTTGGAAATGTTTTGAAAAAAACTGGCGCTGGGGTTGTTACAATAAAATTGATGATTCCTTCTTTGCGAATATTAGACCATGCGTCACATTGCACTCCAACAGTAGTAGCAGATTCAATTTTTTCATTAACCATATTTTGTGTTCTAACGAATACTGAATCTAAAAGATTATTTGATATTTGATTTCTTGATGGCAAATTAAATGAAGGCCGTAATGCGTTAAAAAATTTTAGCCAATATGGATTTTCTGTTATACATAATGGTGTACCAGATGCATAAATCGCTTCTGCAAGTAGTTCTTGTAGAGAATCTTCATCTTTTTTTGACATTTTATCACAAAAACTATCGATTGTATTTTTTTTATAGTTATTGCTACAAACACTTATATTATTTGGTAAATTTTCATTTGAAATCATTGAAGTACTTGCTCTATTGTCTGCTTCATTCAAATCTTCAATAGTAAATGAGTCGTCTGTGCTGTTTAGATGAGAATTATTTCGTTTACGAGGTTTACATGGTTTTAAAAGTTTCCGTAAGTCTTGAAGACAACTTCTACACTCTTTATAAAGATGTTTTCGCATGCGAGTAATGTTTTCTGCATACTTTTTCTTGCAATAGTTACATGAATACGATTTTAATTTTTGGTTAGGTTGCAGAGGTAATGCAGAGAAATGTTTATATATTGATTTGTTCTCCCCCATTGCACCAAGTTCTCAATGAAAATCCTTATCTACAAATTGAATTTTCTTATATTAAATATTATCAGTATTTTTAATAAACAAATAAAAATGAAAATATATACCTGATAGAACAAATAAACAGTTGTATGCCGTTGGGAATTCTAAACTGTGATTGGACATGTATTAACCAATCAGAGATCAGCATTTTTCTGACCGGTATGGTAAAACAGGCTTGGTCATTGACGCGTTTTTTACCGGTAATTTACGGTAAATTTACCCGTCAATTACCGATTCACATCTCTAGTTCTAACCACTGAGCTATTATAGTTCCAATTATATAAACGATGCTTGAAAATTATAAGCTACAGGCTTGGGCACAGAAAGTGGGGGTCGAGCTTGCCGGCGAAGTATCGGAACTCGCCGCGGATTGTTTAAACAATTTTTTATTGTTAATAAGTTGTTAAAAAAGGCTATTATCAATGTATTTGTACAAAAAAAGGTTAATGGCCCTGTTAAAATATTTTCTCATTTGTCATTGATTATTTGGAAAAAAAATTTTACATAAAAATTGAAATTTAAAACTCATTTTTGGCATGATAAAATTGCAATTACATGCAATTTAAATAAAAAAAAAATTTTGCCGCAATTGGAATCGAACACCGTTCGGTAAAATAACTGGCGAACCTTCTGACTATAGAGCTAGCATATTTTCATTTGCTTTGTTTACGTTTAGATATCGTAAGCTTCAGGCTTAGTAACAGAGGGTGGGGAATGTGCTTGCTCGTCAACTGTTCGAACTCGCAGTCTTCTCTGAAAAATAAGACGGAGATAGATAGACATATTTTGTGCTCTGTCTTGCTCGGAACAGATTATTCTGAAATTTGTAAATTTCTTGGTACCCTAAGGCTCCCTTTTTGTAGTGCATCCCTGAAAATTATCATTTTTCGAACGATTTCTCTGTTACCTACTCAATTTCAATTGATATCGAGCTTCGGCTTTTCGCCGCACAACGTGAGGGCGTAAAGTCAACTCCGGGAAACTTTCTGACTTCAGCCCAGCCTTAAATTTAAATCTTTAAATGTATAATCTTACTGATTGTTAATCAAATTCTGTGATGCCCAGATTTTTTATCTAATGATCATTTTAAAAATAAGCTTTATTCTTTTAATCTTTTAAAATTGGTTTTTTTTTATTTTCAATCATTTAATATTCAATCAAATTATAAAAATTTTTCTTTTTTTAATGTTTATCATTTCGTTGAACAGTCAACTTAAGAAATTAGGACTGGTAAGTTATCTTGCGTCGGTATAGTAGAAAAAAAATTCAAAATGCTTATACGGAGAAAAGTCTTCTTTCTGGCTCATGTAATGTCATGTAATTCCTACTACATAAATAAGTATATTTAGGCTTATAATCTAATGATAATAACATTTTTATCTCAATGTTAACGTAATAACGTAATCCAAGTGAAAAAAATTTGAAAACTGAATTATTAAAAAGTTGAAAAACTTCAAAAATAATGTCTGTCAGTATTATTCTCTCCTTTAATAAACATAAACAATTTTCGTGCAACGAAAAAAAAAGTTTTATTACTTAAGTTTTTATAAAAATAAATCAGTATTTTTAATGAATACCTTAATTTACCTGAATTTAAATATAAATATAATATGAATATAAATTTATTAATAAATTTTAATATAAATCACTACTCAATTCAATTATTTTAAAATAAAATAATCAGGGTCAATTAAAGAATTCAAAAATCATTCCTGAAGTTATAAGTATAACTTTTATTTATATTTAAGAAAATTTACATTTGCGTGTATCTCTCTAACTTTGGTTATCTACACTTCCAAATTATGAGCCACGTTGTCTCAGCTCCCGTCGAATATTTGTGCGTTCAACTACTGCCTACAAATATTCTGACAATGTCATCCTATATATAAATTGATATTATAACAAATGAGTTTTAATATTTACCCAAAAAATTACTTTTTTGTGTTAAAACTAATTGTCGTGTGAACTAAATTGAGTAATAATAAAAATTTAATAGGATCTTAATTTTATTTCTCTTCAATATATAATTTATTTGTGTGAAAATTTATTTTGTTTTTAAAAAAATATGTCATTAATGAAAAAAAGAGTTTGAAATAAAAATTATATTGAAAAAAAACCTGTTTAAAAAATTTCAGTACACGATGGAAGAAACTAACTTTATTAGAAAAGTTAAACTAAGCGTAAATTAATGATACAAATAATATATTTTATTTTATTTATAATTACGATAATACTAGAAGACTGTGTTACTGATAGTCAATTAAAACACAAACTAACTGAAGAAATAGCAAGGAATTCAGTAAAACTTTTATAATTTGATTGAATATTAAATGATTGAAAATAAAAAAAAAAACCAATTTTAAAAGATTAAAAGAATAAAGCTTATTTTTAAAATGATCATTAGATAAAAAATCTGGGCATCATAGAATTTGATTGATAATCAGTAAGATTATACATTTAAAGATTTAAATTTAAAAGATTGTAAAAATGCCTTTGACTGACATCTTATTGGGGACGGATGTCACGCTCCCGAAGTGGCTTTTTCGTGTCGCCAGGAATTTTCAGTTGATACTCTGACCACAAGATGTATGTAGTGTACAATTTTTTAGTTTGTACTCTGGCGTATAGATAGCTCTAGTATAAATAAAAGGCAGCAGTTGATACAAACGGCAGCAGTCGAAAAAAGCATCGGAAAGTCGAGCAAAACGGACGCGGTATTTGAAATAAATTTGAAGTTTGCACTATATTATATAAATATATTTAAAACAAAATATTCAAGTGCACCTGGGGTTTTTCTTGGAATTTTTATTTTCTCATGGAAATTCTCAGATAACACAATGGAGAATAAATTAGATATTAACACGCATAGCAATTCCGGTAGCAGAAGTGAGGTTAGGCCACCAAACACCTCATAAAATATCAGTGCTCTGCAGTGGTCTAGGTGCGACCCGAAAGGTTCGAAAAAATGAAAAAACACCTCGAATAGAAACCGTTTTCATTCTTTATAACAAGTGGAATTTTTATAAACGAAATGAGTGTGTTTTCATTTATGTCATACGGTTGGTAATATTTTTTTAGTAAAAGAAAAAATTATGCGTTAAAAGTACTCATATATATAGAATGGATCCCTATTTTTATTGTTTATAACAATTTAAAACTTATTATTCAAATATTACCATGATCAATAATCATTTGTTAGTAACAATGTTCAATTGTTATGGACATAATTCCATATTATTGACAATTATTATTGACTATTATAGCGTCTTTAATGCTGTTTTCTCAATCCTGACACGAGTTTAAAATTCTTTCATTGCTGATTTTGTTTTTTAAAATTTTTTTTTCCGATGAAATATTGTCATCATATTTTCATACAAGTATTTTCATCATTTAATATTCATATTTTTTAAAAGATTTTGAAATTTTGTCTAAAAAATGGTATAATTTATAAATTGCAAAATTCAGTTCGTTTTCCATTTTTGCTAGTTTTTTGGTTCTGCAAAAAAAATGGCTGGACTGATTTCGTTGAAAACCTAATCAGTATTAAGTTGCGCATTTACGTGTCAAATGCAGTTGGTTCCACGTCGATATCATTTTTTGTTCTCGAGATAATCGAGGCGAAAAATAATTCCAAACGCACATACGTACATACACACACACACATCCACTGGAAAACGATCGTATTCGACTCTGGAGACCTTAAAACGTGGAGATATGTCAACATTCGGGATCCACAAAATCGGACCCATTACTATAACTTCCCACTGGGAAGCTAAAAAGACATCTTGAGAAAGACTTGGAGGAGACTCCTGTAAATCTGTATGATAACAATTGTAATGGTCTCTTTATAGTTTTCATCAAGAACGATAATACATAAAATGATGACACAAAAAGGAAGAAAACCATAGGAGACTTCCACCCTATGACTCTAGGGAAAATGCTACGAAAATGCGACAAAAACATAGAAGAGATAAGAAGAAAAGGAAAGAACTTAATTGTGATTATCTATAATCACTGGGAAGATGCAAATAAGATAATTTTAGATCAACGAGAGAAACTACCAAAGAGCTGGCTAGCTTTTATTCCAGACTTTAAAATATTTAGAGTAACTATGGGTAGAGACATACCTAATGACTTATCTTTGAAGGACATTGAAGAGGGAATCCATTGGGATAGCCTTGACAAAAAGTTTATGAAAATAGAAAGAATATACAGAAAAGAGACCAATAAACTTGGTAAAGAATCGCTGATTCCAACTGAGGCAGTAAAGTTTATATTCAAAACCTTAGTCAACTTAGATCCATATGAACCTAAAATCAGAAGGTGCAATAAATGCCAAAGAGTAGGACACATAAAGAAGAGTTGCAGAAGTAAGAACAGATGTAACAAATGCAGTCTTGAATATGCAGAAGAGGAATGCTCGAGCCAGGAACTGTGTTGTGCAAATTGTAAGGAACAACACAAAGTGTCGGATAAATCTTGCAAAGTGTGGATTAAAGCCATTATAATCAGTAAATTAGTTGCCCACTTAAATAGAAAAGAAGCCTCTCGAATAATTAAAGTCTTCCAACTCTCAAGCTTACAGAAAGCCAAAATGTGGATTAACAACAGAGAGAAACAATTTACAAGACTGGCCTCCCCTTTGTCAGAGTGGTTTCCGGAGAAAGTTAGATTCGATGGGAATCATAAAGGCTCAGAAGCTCCGAACACAGAACTTTTTAGATTTCGGGGAAGAAATAGTTACTCGAAGACAAGCAATACTCCAAAAAAGCCTACTAAAAAGAAGGAAATTCAACAAATTTCTGAGGATAGGAACTAGGCTAAAGTAACGCCTTTGAATGTTAATCGAGTAGATAAAGAAGCATCGGAAGAATGATGTAGAAATGGAAATGGATAAGGAAAAATTTCCTAAAGATAATTTAAATAAGCAAAAAGTGGAAAACAACAAAGAAAATATTCAAAATACATACCAAACAGAAGTTACACACCCTTTCAACAAAGTTCTTGTAAAGCCTAATGCAATAAAAGCGGAAAAAATTATGGAGTCCATGAGACAAAAGATGATGAGCGGGGCTCTCACCGATATAACAAATATTTTGTAATCAACAGTAGATATAACTCTACCCTCCGTATCCTCTTTTCTCAGTTGGCTATGCTGAAAGGGTTTTTTTTTTCTTTTTCTCAGTTTTTCGATTGTATAGTTTAATGG